CCTTTATTAAAAATAATAATTTTTGAGTAATTAGAATTAAATGTTTCCCTCGCATGCTTCCACTACTAAAAATATTATTTTCATATAATAAGTATAAAATTATATCACTTTTTAAATACTGACTTTCGTTTATAAGTTTGGTTTTTGGTTGGTTTGTATTATTCTCGAGGTTAACCGGGTAATATTGAGATTAGCTTTATTTCGAACCTAAACCGTAACAGGTAGGTATAATTTAAAGTTTTTTTTGTTCGATGTTGGTCAAATAAAACCAGATGTATTGTTTAGTAACTACTTGATCTGTATACAAATATATTGTTTGAAACTAAAAGAATTTCGGACTTCCATTATCTTTATTTATTTTGCTTACACAACGTCTCGGTCAGAAGTATCACTGACCGTTATCAAGTGTGAACTCACACATTATTTCCAATCCATCCACTATCACACTGAAGTGTGATAACGGTCAGTGATACCTCTGACCGAAACGTTGTGTAAGCAAAATAAATAAAGACAATGGACGACTTCTTCCTCTGAAGCACACTTCAAAAACCGTCTTTATGGGTATATTAAATACTGAAATTTAGATGAAATGAAAACGACATCTCTGTGGAATGCTAAAGATTCTCCTCTGAACAGCTTTGTATTGTGAGGCGTGAATTTTACAATCATTTGCTGGGGTATTGTTTGGCTGTGAATGGGGGATTATGTAAAGATTTTATTAATTAGTATAGTTTAATAAAGTTTTTAGTTATTAGTTATAAACATGTCTTTAGTTTGTTAAATTATTGTGGATATATGTAGTATGAGTGAGGCCTGCGAGTGATCGAGTAACGAAGAGCAAACAAGTCATATGCCGTGAATACTGTTCTCAGTTCAACTATTTTTTTGTAGATTATCATTCCTATCCATTATCATTCAGAAAATAATTAACTACCCTTTCCAAACCACATAAGGTAACAGTTGCATATTATACGGTTTTCGGCTATTTTCGGATTATACAGGGTGTCCCAGAAATAAATCCTAGTATTTTAACTGGTAGTATAGTTCAACCCCTGAAAAACGCATATGAGTTTTTTTCACGAAAAAAAAAATTGAAAATTTGGAATTTTTTGAAAAAAATTTTGTAAATTTTTTTAGATTTTACTCAAAAAACATAATTTCTTGATAATATGGCAACATAGGCAGTAGATTAAGGCTGTTTTCCGTTGAAAAACCAGGCGAACCAGACCGGTAAATTACGGTAAAGAGCGGTTCCTGAAAAACATCGGTTTGATACGGTACGGTTTGGTAAAATACTGGAAACGTCAAATGTTGACGTTTTCTAAATTTCAATACCTCTATTATAACATTTATTTTTTATGCATTTTTAATGTATCTATTCTCTGCTTTTACGTTTGCTTCTTCTTTTCAATGAAGTTTAATATTGTAAAGTACTTTATTAATAAACTGTTAAACTCGAGCTCAAGTGAAGATTTGCAGGTCCAATATTTTTTTAATCAATTTATTTATTCCCTCATATAAAACATATATACAACACATAAATAATGTACAGCATATACATATCATAGAAGATCTGGGTGTCGTCCTTCTGCATCTGGCGCAGCATCAGTGACCTGTTGGTACCAGATTCTGGTCAGATGGTATCGAAGGCATTCTTTTCTTAATTAATTTTGTCGTCGATTTCTGGATATAGTGTTTAGTTCTATTTAATATTAACCATTTAATCCTCTTTTTGAATTGTATAAATTTCAATTTTTTACCTCCTCTGCTAAACTATTGAATGTTTGAATGGTTTTTGTTGTTAGTCTCTGTGTTAATGTCTTATTTTTTTCCTTTATGGCCTCTAATATGTGACTTTCTCCTTGTTTGGTAATTGTGAACTTCCTTGTTTCTATTTAATTTAATATTCGTTTTTATAGTATTGTTTTTTATTTTATACAGCAGTAGCAAGCTATTAAAAAGTATTAATTGTTTTATATCTAGTTCTTGCACTGTATCAAATAATATGTGTGTTGGTGTTCTTTTGTGTAATTTATATACTAATTTTAAAATTTTATTTTGTTGACGTTGCAATGCGTTTAAATTCTTTTCGGTCGTATTACTCCATATATTCATTAAATAGTTCATCCTTGAGGTAAACAGTGCGTGATATAAAGGTTTCCTCATGTTATTTGATATCAATTTTTGAATTTTTATTAAAGCTGCAATTGTGCGTATATTTTCATTTTTCAGCTTTACTACATAAGCATCCCATTTCAAATTATTTTGTATTTTTAACCCTAAATAGTTGATTGTTGATATTTCTCGTAGAATATGGTTTTGTAGTTTTATTTGTAAGTTTAATTTTTGTTTTGTGGTTTTAAATATCATATATTCTGTTTTAGCTCGTTTATGGTTAGGAGATTGGTGTAGCACCATGTTTGCACTTTTTGCAGGTCTTTGTTGATGTTTGTTTCAAGGATGTTCTAATCTGTCCTTGTATATACTAAACATGTATCGTCGGCATATCCACATATGACGCCATTTAATGCTAGTTCGCAGAGATCGTTTGTATAAAGGATATACAGGAGAGGTGGTAGATTTCCTCCTTGCGGTATCCCATATGGCGCTATGGTAGTTTTACTTTCAAATTTTTCCCTACAAATTTTTTGTGGTCGATTTTTTAAATAGCTTTCCGTTAGTTCTAGTATGTGTTCATTCAGTTTGTATTTTTGTAATTTTTCATTTAGTTTGTCTTTAGATATGGTGTCAAAAGCTTTCTTTAAGTCAATAAATACTACTACAGTAATTTTTTTTTATTGAGATTATTTGTAATATTCTCAATTATATCTAGAACAGCGGATGTAGTGCCTGATTGGGTCTGAAAGGCGTACTGTTGTTTGTATATTATATTGTGAGCTGATATATGATCTGACATTCTGTTGTGTATTACTTTTTCTAATATTTTGTTGAATGAAGAGAGTAATGATATTGGTCTGTAGTTTGTAGTTCATCTCGGTTTCCTTTTTTATGTACTGGTATAATGATGGTCTGCTTTAGGTATTCAGGATATATACCGCTCTTCACCATATCTGTTTGGTTAGTGATCTTTATGCCGTCTGTACTTTTAATTTCTGTTATTTGGTTTCTTGTCTGGTTTTTGTTTCCTAATTCTTGGTTTATTAATTTCCAGGTTTTTGAGTAGTCTAGGCAATGTTTTTGAAACATTGTTTTGAAGTATTTAATTTTTGATTGCTTTAGAAAACCAGTTAAAAACAGTTATAAATCAGTTTGTTTTTTTTTTGCTCTTTGTATCTTTCAAGGAGTATCTGATTATTTTTGTTCTTGCGATAATTGCTATATAGTTTATTTCTTTTTCTAATTTCTTTTATTACTTCTTTCGTTATCCACGGACATTCTTCTCTCTTCTTATTTTGATAGTTAGTTCGTTTTTATCTATTATGTCTTTTATAGCTTTCGATAGTTGTTCAAAATCTTTTATATTTTTTTCCAGTTCTTCTAGGTTTCTTTGGATGCCGCTTTCGTCACTTCTTGTTATATTTAATATCTTGTAATCCTTTGTGTTGCTTGTTTGAATATTATTATGTTATTCATATTTATTCGTATAGCATTATGATCTGATAATCCTGCTTTGATGATTTTTAGTTTTATTTGTTTTGTTTGAAAATTCGTTATTATGTGATCCAATATGGAATTCTCCGAGTCTGGACTGTGTCGAGTATAGGCTTGTTTTGTTGTTTTGTTTAAAATATAGTTGTTTTCTCTATACATATTTTTATATCTTTGTACTAGCTGATTTTTTTCCATAATATTGATATTAAAATCTCCCATGATTATATGAGGTTTTCTTCTGTTTATTATATCGTTTTGAAGTGTGTCTTCCAATGTGTTAAAATTTACTTGTGGTGGTTTGTATATCAAGGTTATCGCTATATTTTGTTTGTTTAGTTTTACAGTTATAATTTCGATTTTATTTATGAAACAGTTTAATAAAATTTTGAAGTTTAAATTACTTTTTATACCGGGTGAGTTTCCTAGGATGTTCTCTATAGGTATCTCGGAAAATACTGGAGATAGAGAGTCAGTTAAATGGAGAAAGAATGCAGTTTTGTGGGGCCATAAATATGCGCTTTTCAGATTTTCGAAAAGTTCATGGCTTACTAGATATTTCGAAAAAAACAAATTTTGGCTATTTAAAATTGTCCCTAATTCCATTATAATCTATTTTAGACAAAAAGTTTTCAGATAAAAGTTGTAGATAATCACATCCCTAATGAGACTGTGCTCTCCGATTTTTTCTAAAGCCTGTCATTTTTGACATATGACAATATATAAGAATAAACATATGTTTTTTTAAATGGAAACTATAGTTGGCCATGACTTCATAAATAAGTTTTAAGCTTTTCAGCGATATAAGCTATAATATGTTTCTTACACAAAATTACTGAGTTATAGCCAATTCTTAACTGTCTTGACTAATTTCACTTAGTTAGCCATGGAAACAAGTTCAATCGTCGTTGCTCTCAGAAATGTGAAATTGTCACATCCAATCTTTGTAAATTAAAATAAACAAAAATCGTAAATACGAGTTTTTCAAATGAATAAAAGCGTGTAGGATTATTGGTTCAACTTTTCTTGGCCATACAGTTTCGAGAATTAGTTGACCGGTGAACGTTACTTATGTTTTTTAGAGAACGGTTTTCAAGACATGTTAGAAAAGTTAAATTTAGATACTCGCGCGTTAATAGAGTGGTTCCAACATAACTTTCATTATGACACACCAAACCCCCCCCCCCCATAGTGTTAAAAATTATTTTATTATCATAATTATGTAGACTCAGGGATAGAAAGAGGTGGACCAATTGCATGGGTCTCCTCGGTCACCTGACCTATCCATTTTAATTTTTTTTATGCGGTATGGTTAACAACGAGGTTTACAAAAGAACTTATGAACTTATGAGAGGCACTCGAAGAGGCGGAACAAGAGAAGTTTAATTAAGTCGACCGGTCGTTCTGTGACAATAGCTAGATACCAGTGGCTTTGGCTTTGGCGCCGCCGCCCAATTCTTAAAACTGTATATTACCATAAGAGCATTTATAAACACGGTTGGCTTTGGCTTTGACGCCCGGTTGCCGTCGGACTTGAATTTGTTTAACTTTTTACCGTTCGAGGCGGTTCGCCGTCCGAAGCACCACGTAGCAATGACGTCACAGCCAATAGAATAGTAAAGAGCGATCACGTGTGTGAAGTATGCGAATTCCAAATTTGGCGTGGGATTTCTCTCTGGCGTGGGTACCGTATGCCGTATACCGTACAGTACGACCATTTATCTCGTGATCTTTGTGTATCAAGTTGTGTTTTTTGCATTCCTGAGTTTTTTACCAATATTTTAATAATGGAAGTTGACAATTCTCATGTGGATGGAGGAGAAAGGCAATGTAAACAAATGGTATAAAAATATATACTTTGGTTATTGTATTTTTATTTAACTTATAGCTCAAAATTTGTTGGCTGAAATTAATGTGGACCTATTCATAGAAACAATCCAGTCCAATGAATATTTATACAACATGACCCACAAGGACTACAAAAACCTGAAAAAAAAAGAATTTGGCATGGTCAGAAATTGGTCTTATCAACAATGTTGCTGGTAAGCTTTGTCTAGTTTTATATACCTACATGTAAGAACTCTATTTTTCTATGCTACCTTTTCTTTATCTGACGTAATAACAAACAGACATTTCAAAAGCCGATAGAGTATCGCCGTCTAAAACAGTATTAGACAGCGTCAGAGAAAGAAGTGGTACACGCTTATTAAATTAAAACTATTAAAGTTTCTGAGGTTTAATTAAGGTTTTGTGGTAGTTCTGAATTCCATTGCCGTGCCGAATAAGAAGTTTAATTAAGGTGAGTTTATTTTATCTCACTGAACAACTAGTTGGTTACTGTTTATTGTTTTTATTGTGATATATTATATTTCTGAATCTTAGGTATATTTTAATATATTTGATTGAATATTAAGAAAAGATGATTTGCAGATGATAATATTGAAGTATTTCTTTACAGTGATTTATTTATATTTTGTCCAAGTGACTTTAATAGAAGATAAGAATATATTTCTGTATTTGTATTATTAAATTGATCTTGAATGAATTATGTTTAGCTTTATTATTTTCTACAGTTAGCCTTTATGGCGTAGTGACCCTGTGTAGCGTAGTTTACCCTTGAAGAGTAGTTCGTCCTGTAGCGTAATTAGCCTTGACAAGTAGTTAGTCCCGTAGCGTAATTAGACTTGAAGAGTAGTTAGCCCCGTAGTATAGTTTGATTATTAACTTGTGTATTTTTTTAGCCTGTGTGGCACTTTGATAGCCTGTGTGGCATTTTTTTAGCCTGTGTGGCACTTTGATAGCCTGTGTGGCATTTTGATAGCCTGTGTGGCACTTTGACAGCCTGTGTGGCACTTTGATAGCCTGTGTGTCACTTTGATAGCCTGTGTGGCATTTTTTTTAGCCTGTATGGCACTTTGATAGCCGGTGTGGCATTTTGATAGCCTCTGTGGCATGTTTTTTTAGCCTCTGTGGCATGGTTTTTTTAATAATCTGTGTGACTAGTCTGTGTGGCATTTTATTATTTAATTAATTTTAACTTGTAATTTTAAGTTGGACTATTTATAAATCATTCTGGTACCTGTTTAATTTTAAATTCACTTTATTTTAATAATAACTGGTAATATTGTTGCTCGCACCATGTTTTTTCTCTTTAATTGCAGGTAGGTCATTTCAGTAGCCAGGTCATACAAGACTTTTGTTGCTATACAACATTTGTCCATTTGCAGCGCCCAGATCAAATTTGGCTATTACCATTAGTAACGTACCATCTACTAGTATTATTTTTATTTTATATTATTAGTTGTGAAGGTGCCCGGTGGCGTAGAGGTACAGGCTCTCGTCTACCAATCTCAAGGTGCGGGTTCGATTCCTACACCCGGCATTTCATGAGCCGACTATTTTTATTAAAATAAAAATAGTTTGGGTACCTAGGTCGACTCAGCCTTAAATGAGTACTTGGGATTCACAATCCTGAGGTAATAATAGGCGGTTGAAGCGTAGTGCTAGCCACATTACCTTCCTTGTATACCGAACGGCTCTAGTATAGCAAGCTGTACCTTGCTACTCCCAAGGCGTTAAACGCTATATACAGGAGCTATTATTATTATATTATTAGTTGTATTTTATTATACAACATTTACGCCCTTTAAATTTGTTTTATGGTTTTTATTTTTAATTTGAGTTGACCGCTTGAAAAAAAAATTTGGCCCTTACATACATTACCTAAAAAAACATTTTATTCTAGCTGAAAAATGTCCAAAGATTCGTGACCGTTTCGTGAAAGAAAAAAATAAATGTACTTCGGGGTCTGGGGCCTCAGATTCCAATTGGGTGTATTTTCCTCATATGCTATTTTATGAAAAATATACAAGATCCAGAAAGTAATTATACTTATTTATGTAAACATTTACAAATAATACAAAAAATATTTTATTTTTAGAACATTTACAAGTACTAAACTGAAAACCACATCTACTTCGATGCAGCCCCAGCCATCCACCTCTGCACAGAGCAGTAGTCGATCAAACTCTGCCTGCTCTGTGTGGTCAACCACTCTAGAGAACCAAATATTCTCTCCAGAGAGTGCAGAGATTGAGCTGGAGGATGAATTATCAGTATTGATAGCCAGAGAACAACCTCAAAAGGAACCAGAAATTGCCATTCTAAACACCCCTAGCTCGTCAAATCGTAAGTTTTTTTCTTGTGTTTTAGTAGCAATATGTAATAAAACTATGGTGTGGTAAAAATGCTAATAATTACCAATATTGTTACTTTCAGCTAAAGCTGGAAAAAGAAAGGGAAGGGAAGGGGGCGAATTTTTAAATGTAGCGAAGAAAATTTGCGAAACATTAGATACCCAGAGGGCCAAAGCATCCGAGCAAAAGGATGCTAATAGAACTTTTACTGAGTATGCCTACTCGAGGCTGGCTGAAATGCCAGCAGATGAAGTGAAAAAAAAGGAGAAAAATGTTATTAATTTTAGAGCATGATGAATAGTTATAAGTTTAGTTCGTTATTTTGTTCATTTTATAGTTATAGTTTATTAAATATTTTTATCTTTATTTTGGTTTTATTGTTCATCTCACTTGCCCTGATATAAATATATTTTTGTCTGCCACTTATACTTTAAAACATTAAAATTATACACAGTTTATAAAAATAATTTATTTAATAAAATAAAAATTACTAATCATAACTACCTATATTAACTATAAATTATTACAACTTAAAAGATCTAGGTAAATTAACAAGAAAAATTAATAGCGTTCTTTATTTAAAGAAAAAAAAATGTTTCATACAAAATTATTGAATAAAAAGGTTTACTGTATTAACAAAAATAGAGGTGTTAGGTAGCCGCATAAATATAATAATAATTATTAAAAAGCCTATAGATATATAATATATACAGTGTGTCCAACAAACTTAACTATTAAAAAAAACATACAAATAATTTAAAGATATACATAAATCAAACTTAATTTAATAATAAGCCACTGTCAATAATTTGTTCCTGCCAAGAAACTTTTCCCACATCTGAAACCAAATAATCGGCTAAAATGTGTTCTATTTTCGTAGAACTCTCTACGGGACACATTAGTAGATAATTTACCAACAGAAGTTAGAGGAGTCTGCTCATCTCTCCAACCTCCATTTGTCATTCCTTCGGTGTCAACATAGTTTGGTGGACAGTAGTTATGTGACAGCTCTGTTTGGCAATAGTTGTGAAGAACAACTACTGCCTTGACAATATTGTCAACATTTTCTACTTTTGCATTTATGTTGGTTTTTAAAATTCGCCAACGTGCTGCAAAAATTCCAAAAGTGTTTTCAATTAGCTGACGTGCCCTCGACAATCGATAATTGAAAATTCTTTGTATTCTTGATAAATTTTTTCCTGGGTATGGCCTCACTATAACTTTTTTTAGAGGAAATGCCTCATCAGCCACAAAAAAATAAGGCATTTGAACATTTGAAAATGGCAAATTGCTGTTTTTGGGTACATGCATGTCATCCTCCTCTAACCTTTGTCCAAACACACTATTTTTAAAAACACCCCCATCACTGCTAGAACCATAAGCACCAATGTCCACTAATGTAAATGTATATGCACTATCACAGGCTGCCAAAAGCACAATGCTAAAGTTTTTTTTTGTAGTTAAAATACAATGAACCGCACTTCTAGCCGGTGCTTTAATATTGATGTGCTTCCCATCCAGGGCCCCTATGCAATTTGGAAAGTTCCACCTACTCCAAAAACCATCACTAATATCTTTCCACTCTTTTTCAGTGTTAGGACTTTTTAAATAAATAGGACTAAGAACATTCCATAGTACCTGGCAAGTTTCATTCACAATGCAGTGAACAGTTGCATGTCCAACATGAAAATTCCAAGCCAAAGCTTGCATGCTTGTGCCCTGAGATAAATATCTAAAAAAGTATATAGGTATTAATGATATGTTTATTGTTTGAAAAATAATGGGGCTTACCGCAGTATTATCACCAATCTTTCCTCTGGGGAGATTCCATCAGATCTTACTTGTCTTTCTATGTGGTGTTCTATTTTTTGCAAGAGTTTCTCAAAAGCAGCAACGGTCATCCTGGTGTATTTGAAGAATTGATCTTTATCCCAAGATTTCATGTTATTGTAGTACTGAAATCAGGGGCGGCTCGTAGCACTGGAAGATGGTGAGGCACATTAGAAGTGAATTTTTATTAGTATGTATATAGGGTGACCATTAGTACGAGGAAGTCCAATATCTTCGTAGTTGACAAATATATGAAAAAAAACTTCTATATAAAAAAGTGCATATCATAAAAAAATATTTTCTGTAAAATTGCAATCGCATTACCATTTTTCTGTGCAGAATTGGGTTCAGCATAAAATTCGGCATACTTCACACTATTGATTTATTTGAAGCACTATATATGCGGGATTTCCATGATAATTCATATTTGAAAAATTTCATTTTTTAAAAAGTGGTAAAAACCTGGAGTGAATTTAACTTATTGATATATTATTGCTTAAGTATGTATATAGCGAGGTATGTAGGACAAAAGAAGAAATCCGAGAAAAATTCACATTATTTTATACAGGGATTTTTTTATAGCACGGTCAACATTGCAATATTATAATGCTATATCTCAATTTTTTTAAATGCAATACACACTGTATATTATTTTTAGTATTTTAGATACCTACAGACTTAAATAGCGCAGATTTTTGTATTTAAAATATTTCTAAATTTTTAGCAGTTGCCTTAAGCCTTGAAACAGGAGGAAATTTTGAGGGTCGGTTTGATGAAGTAAAAGGCGATAGTTTAAGTTCCTCGTGTATTTCTCTCTCTCTTTTGTAACTCTTTGCTATAATGGCTAGAAAATTATATAAATGATTTGCTGATCTTAAATATTATGGACAAATCTTACCTAGCACCAAGTTAATTCATACAAAATATAATAACTAATAAGATGTATGGTGAAATTTTAAACCACAGGCTGCCGCCGTTATTTGCAAAAGTTAAGAATAAATGTAGAAATAAATTTACTTAAATCGAAGATATTTTTTATCCGCATACCAGATTTATTTAATAAAATGGGTATGAGCGGCGACATCTACAAGACGGGTGTTTCAACGCATTGAACGTTAATAAGGTTTACTACATTTACACTAAAATATTCCCATGTAGTTCCGCAATTTAACAACAAATAATCAGTAACCTAATATATTCTGTTTCATCTGCCTCCCTGTGAACTGAGAGGTCGAAGAACACACGAGGTTCACATAATTTATAAATTTAATAAATAGTATCAATATATGTGCTATAACTATATAGCTCACACAATTTATGGCGGGTGATATGCCTTAAGATGGCTTACGTGGAATAAGCCGCGTTCAGTAAACGATTCCGGGTGCTCTAACATATACGTATTAAAACTCACAGCACTCTTTATTCGATAGGGTCCTTCAAATAACAAAAGAAATTTTTTTGTTTCTGCACTTAAAGCAGAGGATATATTATTAGATCGAAGTAAAACTAAATCTCCCTCTTTAAATACCGGGTATGGTCGACTTGGATAGTTAATAGCTCTCCGTGCTGCGCGACTTTGTAATGTTTCTTTGGCAAGCCACATTTTCCTCTCCGAACTAACATCCTGTGTCCCGATGGGATTTGAAAGAAATGACGGAAGAAATTTAGGCACGGTGGTGTTGTGCTGCAATTCGTGCGGAGTAAAACCTGTCGATTCGTGAACTACAAAATTCATCAAGACAGCAAATCTTTTTAATTCATGTGCCCAACGAGTATGTTGCCCCGCACAATATACGCGACACAAGCGTCCTAGTTCCCTCATTACTCTTTCGGAAGAGTTTGCTTGGGGGTGTCTAATCGAATTAAAAATAACCTTTATACCTAGAGATTCCAAAGTTTCTCGCCATCGTTTAGAAGTGAACTGAGAACCATGGTCTGAAAGAATACGATTTGGTCGGCCATTTTTAGGAAAATAATCTAAAATTAGACGATTAAGTGCAGCTCGAGTGGTTGCATTTTTTAAAGGATATAACGCAATGTATTTAGTAAATACGTCCAAGACTACTAAAACATATTTGGCACCAGCACGACTTCGCGGTAGGGGACCATATAAATCTAAAGCTACTAAGTCACCTTTAGCATCAGGAATAATAGGATTTATAGGTGGTTTAGGCATGCGCGATATCTTTGTCTTTTGACAGACGTCACAGTGTCGTAATATTTTTTTAATAGTAGCATACATATTCGTCCACCAAGCCTCGGTGCGAAGAGCTGACCACGTTTTATATACACCGTAATGGCCCAACATCTCGTGATATGCTTCAACAAAATCAGACTGCATCACTTTAGGAACACAAACCAAATACGGTTCATCGGATGCTTGTCGATAATATAATACGTCTTGGTGGAGTGCAAATCGTTCTTGTAGTTTTAAATCAGATGATAGTGCCGATATAATATCATTTAATTTTTTATCATCGCGTTGCACTACTGCGATAGCTTTTATTTTTCTTAAAAACTCCGTGGGTAATTTAAGAGTTGATAAAATTTTGAATAATCTATTCTCCGGATAAGGGGGAGCTTTAGCACTGTCCCGTGATAGCGCGTCTGCTACAATATTATCTTTTCCCGAAATATGCTCAATAGAAAAATCAAATTCCTGTAAGGCTAGGACCCAACGCGCGATTCGCGGCGAGAGTAGTCGACAAGTGTTAATATACGTTAAAGCTTTATTATCAGTATGCACCGTAAAATGGCGACCCAATAGATATACACGCCATCGAGTTAACGCAAATACACACGCAAGAACTTCCTTTTCATTACTATGGTACCGCGTTTCTCTTGGAAGCAATAATCGACTCGCATAAGCTATCGTACGAGATTCACCATCCAACACTTGGTAAAGTTGTGCCCCTAAACCATATTCGCTTGCATCTATGTTGACATGCCATTCGGCTGACAAAACCGGATGATAAAGCATTGCTGCATTTATTAATAAATCCTTTATCTTCTCAAAAGCTTTCTCTTGTGGCTCTTTCCATTCCCATCGAACAGTTTTCCGCAATAATTTCGTTAGAGGCTCACAAAATGATGAAAACGATTTACAAAAGGATCTGTCAAAATTGCATAAGCCTAGAAAGCGCTGAAGTTGCTTAACGTTGTGTGGTCGCGTGTATTCTACAATAGCTTTTACCCTAGACGGATTTGGTTTAATACCATTACTGTTTATCACATATCCCAGAAAATTAAGTTGATCACAAAAAAAATCACATTTACTTATATTAAGGGTTAACCCAAATTCCTGGAGTCGTTTGAAAACCATTTTTAAATGTTTAATATGTTGCTCAAACGAATCAGATATTATAAGCATGTCATCAATATATCCGGTTAAAAATGAGTCAAACTCCGGACCGAAAATTTTACTGATCATGCGTATAAACGACGAAGCGGCCGTTGACAACCCA